AGAGAGAGAGAGAGAGAGAGAGAGAGAGAGAGAGAGAGAGAGAGAGAGAGAGAGAGACAGAGAGAGAGAGAGACAGAGACAGAGAGAGAGAGAGAGCAGCCAAACAGGGTTGTTGAGAGTGGTTGCGCAGGTGGAAGTGGTTGGGCGTCATGGGCGTCGCATGGAACTGGGACGGTGTGTGCTGCGCGGCTGTTTAGTGCGGGGGTAGAAGGAATTCCCCAGGAGCGTCGTCGGTGGCGGAGTTGTATAGTGTGTTGGCCGTGGCACGACAACGGGTTCACTGGACTCGATCGTGCATGTCGAGGTTAGTGTAGGTGTTTAGCTTGTCTGTCGTTGGAGTCGACGACGGCTTCATTAATTCGAAACGTGTTTTGTGATTCTATCATCGCAGTTAGCCGAGGAAGAACTTCATAGCGCTTGCAGCACACGGTTTTTATCATGTCACGTGTCCCTTCTTCTCATGTCTTCGGTGGAATGATTGCAGGATGAACCCAACCGCCCCCCCCCCACCCTCGCCCCCCCCTGTGTGCAACTGATTGAAAGATGATTGCCCCCCCCTCGCTGGATTGAATGAAGTTCACCATTCTCTGTTCGCGTGTTTTTGTTTGGAAGGTCATGTATTGCAGGTGTTGATTATGGTTTCAAAAAACGATTTGTTTTCTGTCGTTCCTGTTGTGCACATTGGCCACAGCACATGGGTCACACATACATCGAATGTCGCATAAGCGGAATGTTTGTGCACCTTCAACATAACTCCCCAGCACGCGACCACAAAAAACCATTCATTACATTAGCAATGAAGACAAACAGAAAAAAAAAAAAAAAATAATAATAATAATAATAATAATAAAAAAAAATGGAAAGATGGATAGCACTGCCGAACGAAACATTCCATGAAACACGACGAATGTCCAAAAGGTGGCGAACGCCGTTGAAGACAAGAAAAATGGAACAAAACGAAAAAGAAGAAGAGCGAAGACAATTTTTTTTTTAAAAAAGGTTCTTCCAATTTCAAAGTTTCGCACAACTGTGCGAGCTGCCAAAAGTTGTGTGCATGACGACACTTACAAAAAAAACTCAACGGCGACAACAAAGCCGCCATTCGTTCCACCCAGTGCATGCGCTGACGATGACGAAGGACACAGAGCACGCCACACTACCACCCGCCTGCCGATCGAACCATCCCCCCCCTCTCTCTCTCTCTCTCTCTCTCTCTCTCTCTCTCTCTCTCTCTCNGCCAAAAGTTGTGTGCATGACGACACTTACAAAAAAAACTCAACGGCGACAACAAAGCCGCCATTCGTTCCACCCAGTGCATGCGCTGACGATGAAAGAAGATACCGTCGTTGCCTCTCTACCACCCGCCTGCCGATCGAACCATCCGAGCTCTCTCTCTCTCTCTCTCTCTCTCTCTCTCTCTCTCTCTCTCTCTCTCTCTCTCTCTCTCTCTCCGCGAGGTCCTGCATCAAAGCCAAGCGGTCGTGAAGCGCGTTCCTCAACAACTCCCCCTCGACGTTGGAGCTTTGTGGCCGCGCGCCTCCGCCGCCCCCGACAATGCCCAAGTCCACTCTATGCCTGACGCCGTCCGGACCCACCTCCCATAACAGGTTTTCGTCGAAGTCGATCCCCGCATCGAGGAGGATGTTGTGGAGAGTGCAGACGGCGACGAATTGTTGTGGTAATGTTTCCAGGTTCGTCTTGTGGGTGCGCAAGAACAGACGCCACATGCACTTCAGTCGGCCGAACGCCCTCTCCACACACCCTCGTGCCACCTTCTGCCGGTTGTCGAAGCGCTCCTCGTCAGGACCTTGGTCTATTCCTCCATACGGCTGCACGATCCATGGACAGGCAACAGGATAACCGTTGTCGCCCAACAGGTATCCTCGCGTGGCGACACCGTGCGGCAAATTCTCTGGAGTTGTGTCGAAGAGCTTGCCAGTCTGCGCGCGCCTCCAGAGTTGGGAATTGTGCAGGACGCGGACGTCATGCACACTCCCCGGGTATCCGACATGGACATCGAGGATCCGGAGATCCAAATCCACGACGACCTACGCCTGCACGGAGAACTTGTGGTTGCGGTGGTAGTAGTTGGCAGAAGGTGCGCGGGCGGGTTTGTCGATGTAGATGTGTGTGCAGTCGATGGCGCCGAAGCAATTCGAGAATCCCTTGTCGCGGAAAGCGCGAAGAATCTGCGCACGTCTGCGGCCCACTGGGCACTTGATGGCGTCGGGGTACGCCCGCAGCAGCGCTGAAGTGACGTCGCGGACGGCCTGCAGTCCAGTGGCCCCGCCAATGCCGAAGGTTGAAGTGCCACTCTCGTACGTCTCCCCGGACGCCCACCTGTACAACGCGAAAGCGATAACCTGCTCCGCTGGCAATGGCGTCCTGTAGTGCGTGACCTTCTTCTCCACGAACATGGCGAGAGCGGCTACGATCTGCTTGAATATGGCCATCGACATGCGCAACTTTTGGCGGTAGTACTCTTATGTGGCGTCATCGCACTGCCGGAGGTCCTCCCATGTTCCGCCAGTACGTCGTTTAATCCACCATCGCGAGGTCTGCCGGGGGAAAATGCCAGACGACAGCACGGCACACAACTGGACCACTGCCTCACACGTCGCCACACAATCCGCCGCTTCGGCAACGCTCTGCAACAGCGCTCGTCGTTTACGGAGTTGCTTCGCCACGTCTCGTGACGACGACGACATCTCGTTCATCGTCTTCAGGACGACAGTAGACACCGCCATCGCCACCGCCTCCATCTCTTCCGCCCGCAGACCGTGGCCGCAGTCGCTGCCATCCATCTCCGCAAATTGCTCACCCGCTACACCTTCGCTCCTGCTGCAGCCGCCGAAGACACGCCCGCTGCTAAGCATTGCCACTGGACACCACGCACACTGTGTGACACGAAGACGTCCCGCAGTTGTGCACTACCTCAGGAGATGGAACAACCGCGATGCCGAAGACGCGCCCGCTGCTGTACGCTTCCACAGCGAAGGCGACGGCACGTCCGTACGTCAAGATGCACCGAGCAGGAAGATGCGCCGCGCGCCTCACAATTCCCGCGTACAGCAAAGCTGGTGGTTACCCACGGCGAAGGGGCCGCCACCACCGTGTCTTGTACGTCACACGTGCCGCCTTGCCGTCCTCCAGCCCGCCAGCCTGCATCCGCCAAAATTCGAATTTCAAATTTTGAAGGTCTCGGCAAGCGCACGCTTCACCAACCCGTCGGCACCCGCCCAAGGCCCACCGCAGTGTGGACCACGGACACCAGCCAGGACTGGACGGACATCCGCGACGCGGCTGCATATACGTGTATGAAAACGGGCCGCGGAAAACCTTTTAGGACGATTCCTAAAAGACGATTTTTAGGACTGCGTGTAACGACGCCCCGCGAAATCCTAAAAAACCTTTAGGACTCGTCCTAAATCTTTTAGGATTCTTTTAGGAGTGTCTAACGAGACCCTTATTCAGAAATGGAGCATCTACTCATCCACTTCGCAGTCGAGTTTGAACTCGCGTCTGCATATTTCGACAGTCAGGCCGGCCTGCATCATGAGCCAGGCCCGTTGGTCCGGTTCTTTTCTTTTTTCTTTTTTTTTTGTAGTTTTTTTTTTATATGCCCCTGAAAGTTCAATTAATTTGCACCGGCCGCTCTGACGGCTGACTTACCCTGCCGTCCCCTTGGGGCCTCTGAACTTTCCTGCAGGCCCCTCTCTGTGAGGGTAGCAACTTTCCAGCATGCCCCTGTGGCCGTTGGTGGCACACGTGATCGTTCCCGTGGCTCTGGGAGGGGAGCTACCGGGGCATACTAGAAATTTGGAACGGGTACCGATAGGGGTATATTGAACACTTGTCAGGCCCAAACGACACCAGGGTTTTTTCAGAAACGGAATCTCTGTCAGAGGGGCGCTGCAGGTTACGTCGGCCGTTATACGGGCACGCTGCAAATAAATCGAACTTTGAGGGGCATATTGAAAATTTACCCTTTTTTTTTTTTTTTCTGATTTGGACTATTTCTCAATTTATGCGTGTCATCCTTGCGCAGGGGCTCTGTATCGTTCCAATTTTAACGGTGTTCAACTGCCTCTGGCTTGGCTCTTTCCTCCCTTCTGCAGCGAATTTCGGGCTCCGACCTTCCGCAATGGACGGAGAGCCACGCTGTCATGGCTTCTATCTGTTTGTTTTATTAGCTGGAGAGCAGACGCGGAGGCCCACGTACCGGGATTCTTAATCCATGGCTGTCGATCTTCGTAATCGACGGCTATGTATGAGGAAATTCACCCAAAGAGGGAGCTAACCCCGGGACTTGCTGTCAGGCGGGCCCAGAAAGGGGTAAGCCTTCAATAGATACGATCGAAGGGGACAGAGAGTCGCTGGCAATCTCCGCCGGCGTTCGGTAGCGTGCCCAACTTCCCACGTATCAGCGAAGTATGCCCGTGCGCTCCTTTCACAGCTTCTCTTTTTTTTTTTGTTTCCTTCGCTTGGCATTGCCGAGCAGAGCACAAAGTTAGGGGCGTTAGCTCACTACGCGGAAGGCCCTGCTACGCTAATCTAACGTCTAAGGGCCTCGCCACACCACTCTCGAAATGTGAAAAAGGCAAAAATGTGGCGGGTGGATCTGGCCACGTTCTAGCAGGAAGTTCATTCTCATTTTGCACATTTCGAGAGTGGTGTGGCGATGCCCTAATATGTATGCTCACTATGCGCCTATAATGTGTGATGTCCCCACTGAGCTAATCTAATGTCTACTGTGCCAAGTAATTGGGCCGAACGTCACTTTCCCTACCGAAGTCATGTTCTAGCTCGTGAGTAACTTTGTTTTTGTTTTTGTTTTTGTTTTTGTTTTTGTTTTTGTTTTGTTTTGTTTTGTTTTGTTTTGTTTTTCTCGTGAGTTACTTCTTCTTCTTCTTCTTTTTTTTTTTTTTTTTTTTTAACTTCTTCTTATTAGACATTAGACGTACTTCTCCATTTCGAACTGCTCGAGTATTCCCCCCGCCGTGTGTTGTCGAAGTGTCCTGCAGTGAGTTTGGCCCCTGCGTGTTTTTTTTTTGAGTAGGTGGTTCTTCTTCTTGGAGCTTGACGACGTTTTATATCTCCTTTGCGTGGCAGAGGATATAAATCAGCAGGAAGCAGAGAAGGGCTGCTTTTTTGTCACACTGAGCAGATGACTTCTCTGGGCTTTGGGAGGAGAGTGAAGAGGAGGGACGGGTGGGGTAGGGGGGAATGAAGAAGAGGTGAGGAGTGAAGGGCCTATGGATTTGGGAGGGGAGCGGGGAGAGAAGAGGGGGGCACAAATTACATCTGTCTGGGCTACAGTAGCAGAGCGGGGGAAGAACAGAGTCCTTATAGCGGACCCACCAGGTGTGGTGCTCCGCTAGTGACAGAGATGGAGATGGAGGAAGAAGGGGGAGCAAGATGGCACAACGCAGCTCCTCACGCAAGACTCCAACGCACGTACTCCAAAATGTGCAAGTGAGGAATGAGACTGAAAACAGACAATGGCTGGGGTATACCCCAGCGGACTGACGGGACTGGACTGG